TTTCTTATTGTTCCAACGTAAAACAACGTTTTTTATCTTTTAGGGCTTTTACAATACAGGTAAACCAATTATCTGTGGTGATATTGAGACCGCTGTTGAAAATTGGTTCCGATAATCGTAGAACATCACCTAGTGGGGAATTACTGACACTAAATGGACCTTCGGGCTGTTTTCCGGTATATATTTCTAAATTCAATGTATAAAGCATTTTAACATCAACTGCTGCAAAATTTTTAATGCCATATTTATTTGGTTTTGATGGAATGTACTGCCGAAAAGGGCATCTTCCTCTAAAACAGGGATGTCAAACTCGCGGCCCACAATAAATATTTTTTGCGGCCCGGCCAACATATCGGCAAATAATAATATATAATAATAAAATAACATATTGACGAAGAAAAAAATGAAATGTTTACTGCTAAGTAATTAACGATAATTTATTCAGTGTTGTTAGATTACTCACAGCGAGCTGACACACACACTACTTAAATTACAAATGCGTGTGAGTAGCTTGCGTTCAGCTACCTTCGGCTTTTGGGGGACACGTGCACTCAGAACTTGTACGCATCCCCCAATAGCCGAACTCATGGTCTCAGTTTTCCAATAATAGTTTTGTACGATATATTGGTGCATGCACTTTGCTTTATTATTAATTATTACTTAATTCATATTGTTACGGATTTCATAGTTATTTATTTATTTAGTTTTTTTTTATTTAGAATTGTAATTAGATTTGCTTCATGTTGCCTTAGCAACGCAGACGATTTTTGAAAAGACAGCTGCGTTGGAAGGTTAAAAATAGAACAGCTCGTGCATTTAATACGTAATTAGTTCAGCCTTTAGATGTGTCTATCAATAAACCATTCACAGAAAATTTAAAATGACAGTAGAATAGGTGGATATTAAAAGGTGAAAAAAACATCTACAGAAGGAGGCTAAATGCATCATGCTAGTCTAGAAACAGTATATGAGTGGATAATGAAAGCATGGCATGAAATTAAACCAGACATAATTCTCATTCATTTAAAAATTAAAAAAGTCATTTAAAAATTGTAGTATACCTGAAAATCTAGATGATTATTACATGATTATTTATTTACGGAACACTGTAAAAGTGATGGTGAAGCTGAAACAGAATTTGATGATGTGCCTAAAGATACAACAGAAGATGAATATGATGAATATGATGAACTTTGCATGCTATCTAATGAAAAGATTTAAGTTCATGAGGTATGCCATTTCTTTTACAATAACAGCATTTAGGTACATCTAATTTTTGTATGCTCATCTGTTCCTTATTTTTAAAATTGTAATACATTTAGAACTCTGATTTTTGCATGTTCATCTCTTCCTTATATTTAAAATTATAATTCTCATATAACATAAAACATGCACCCGTAAATTTCAATCTTATTTTCTGTATTAAAAATGTGCTCTACATGCAGGAATATACGGTATATATAGTCTTTTCACAAAAGTTTTAAAGTTTCACATATATTTTAAATTCTTTGGATTATGTACTCCTTGTTTAAAGGTAAAATTTTGATTTGGATTTTTCACTGAAGTATCTTATTTCACTTACATTTTAAATTCTTTAAATAGAATTCTATTTTTTTTTTAAGGTGCAAGATTTTAATTAGAATTTACTTTTTTTTTCCTTGCTTTGGGGAGGGACCAGAATTTTCGGGTGAACTATTATAATTAAAATACATTCAAATGGGGCTAATTCTGGATGCAAAAAAAGCAAGGATTTTTCTTTAAGAGAGATTTCCATGTTCCTCTTCCTAACAAAGTGGCATTGAAGTTGATTGAATTCCTCTTCTATTATGTTTGTTTTTCTTTAAATTTCATCGATTTTTTGAATTGGGGTTGCTTACTTGAAGAGTTTCGGTTTTCACATTTATTAAATCCTTTATTGCATTTATAGGATTATATGAAATTTATTACTTATGAATTTCAATTTTTGGTCTTTGAGAAAAATTGAATCTAAATTTCTTACTTTATGCCTTTATTGATAATTTTCTTACTTTATGTCTTATGAATTTCAATTTTTGATCTTTGTGAAAAATTGAATCTAAATTTCTTACTTTATGTCTTTATTATAATTCTGCAGCAGCTTAACTTTCTGAAGCCAGCTGGTACAAAAGTTGTACCAGGAGAATGACTTTCTCAGACGGCGGCACTGGTACAACTGTCGTACCATCCATGCCCTCCCCATTTTAGAGAATGGCATATCTGTAGATCTCTGGGTGGTCCATTGTCGCTGCTCAGAGTAGCCGCTGGTTACGCATTATTTCCCTCTTCTTATCAGTTTGGCTACATTTTGGCAAAAACCGCAGGTTTCGTCTCGCGCCAATATACTTGGAAATCAAATAGAGGCCATCTCTTTCTCAATCTGTCTCATAATCTTAATGCTAATTTTTTTAGTATTGACTTTTGCTATAATTAAAACGTCAGCGATTTTGCATGCTCTTTAAGCTTACCATATTTAATGTTTTTTAATCATAACAAATAAGAATAGATTAATATTTTAGATTTAATGCCCTTCTAGAAAATAGGTGAAACCGCTTTTATCGTTTATTTCCTTTTCATACTTATGAATAATAAGATTTTATTTTGACATTTTTTTGTGGAGTGCATAAAACCCTTAAGAACTGTTAACTCTTTCAAAGTGCTTCTATTATGTAGGCAATTTTGTCTGATTTATCAGGAGATAAATAAGAGACAATTGTATGCATAATAGTTTTTGTGATTTTCATTCATTCAGTGATTGCTTTCAATGATTTTCATTGATTGTAAATTAAATAAAATCATTTATCTTTAGACCCTCTTTTAGGATGAGATCTGCCAAAAAGTATTTAAATATCAGTAAAGCTCACGTTACTTCTAAATTGAATCAAAACATCAGTTACATTGTATAAAATTTCGGCCAGTTTTATTTGCTGAAATTCTTATACTCCTCAAGAGATAAAGAGAATTCAGACAAGTTAATAAAAAAATATCTTTAAAAAAGGTTGTTATTTTGTCTGCAATAAGGTGTATGTCAACTTACTATTAAATGTATGAAAATTAGGATTGGATTACGGAAAAGAACGCGAACGCTATCTGCTTAAGGGGATGGATGCTTTCCTGTAAACCTTTTTAAGAGAAAATTGCTCGCATTTACGTTCCTGGTGTAAAACTCCACATGTAATCAACCCGTTCTTCAGGTTTGATTGGATTAATTTTGTTCACTTAATTACATCAAAGCACACAACAATTACCTGTATAAGGGGAGTTATGCCTTCGCGGAGGACTTTCTAAGAGAAGCTGGCTTGCATTTACGTTACACAAAAACCGTGAATCCAACTATTTAGCCGGGATTCAAACCCAAGCGAGGTACAAGTGTTCAGCCATATTTACCGCTCTACTGAAGAGCCCGTAAAAATATTGATAAAGGAAAAGTATTGAAATAACCGGTTTAATTTACTAACTTATATTTCTCAATCGACAGTATATAAATTACGCATATGAGGGGGATTATTTGTGAATAAATAAACTGTATTGCACTTTTCTCCACTATTTCATATTACGATGGAATTATTGCATTTCAAAGTTATTTCTCGTGATTTAATTTTGCTGCGTTCATGATTTTTGATATTTTCAAAGAGAAAATTCCACACTTTAAATAAAAAAATACATGAGAAGATACTTTATGCAACATTTTGCGTAAATGGTTTTCTTAATTTTGCTTTGAAAATATTCCAGGGTAATTGTTTTCATTACTGGAAGAAATATGAAAAACAGATTTACTACATTGTAAGTGTCAACACCCAGTATGTCCTTATATTCTTTTGAAAACGTGAAAGATTACTCTTTCTAAAATAAATTAGAAAATATATTATGTGCAAATAGAATATTCGTTGAAAATGAAATAGACTTCCAACTTTTGGATATAACGATGGTTTTAGACGAAATTTCTACCTATGAAAAGAAATTGACGTATAATTAATTCTTCATGAACATTTAAAACTGTTCTCAAAATTCTTTTGATGATTGCATGTATAGGTCACGGATTTTTTTCTCTGCTAACATAAACAAAAGCCAATTTTACAAAGAAAAATTCTCGTTAAAGATATACCTTCTTTGCCTGATAGTCCAATGTAATATTTGTTAAAGTTAAATGATGAAACGCAACCAATGTATCTCGGATTTTGATTTTTATATTATAATAACAAAATTATCAAAAAAAGCAGATTTTATTCTCTGTTATTGTTATGTAAAGCTTTATTATTGCTGTAAGTTCATCTCAAAATCTAATTGTATTGAATCTCATTCTAATCATCTAATAGTAATAAATATTATTATTATTATTTCATTAAAATAGTCATTACCATTATTTTATTAATGAAAATATGTTATTAAAAATCGCATTCCAGCCTGCAGACTTACAAATCTAGTCCGTATTTACTATATTTTGTTAAATTTTGTTCTCGCTTTCTAATTTCTAATACGAAAATACGCGAATATAAATGAAGAGTGAAAACAAAGTTAAAAAATTCACAAATTATTTACAAGATTGATTAGAAATAGTGAGTGAAATATAAATATTGCATACATTTTGTTCTAAATAAATTGTGCACTGGATATGCATCCAGTACTGCATATTTATTTATGCATTATTTATTTAGAACTTCATTTAAATGAAAGCAAAATAATCATCGAAAAAATTGCAAATCTAGCAACCCCTCTACTATGGGACGTAAGCGTCCGACAAACATGTAAATTTTACTTCATCCATGGAGGGGGACTAACGACTTTTCTCATTAGGAAAATGTCAAAGAGGGGGCAAAACTGTTTCGGATCGCGCCGGTCTGAAGGCTATATTATGAGAATTTTGGCCCGGTTTAGAAGGTTAATGCACGAAAATAGTAGACATGATTATATTTTGTTTTTTTAAAAAAACTATTTTGCAATTATATATATATATATACTATTAAAATAAGCTAAATAACACCTACTTCTTTATCATTCTCCTCTTTACGCTTTGGAGTCTCAACTGGTTTTATGTTGCTGTGATAAGATCTTGTACAACCCTGTAACATATTGTAAAAGCTCAGTTATATTGCAAATATATAAATTTAAGAAAAAAATTTTAAAATATGAGGTATTAAAAAGAAATTCTCACAATTTACACAAAAGGAAAACAAATTATGACAACTATAGCACATTTTAAATAAGAAATATCACAGTTCTCAAATTCATATCACAAGGGAAAAAAAAAATATATTCTTTTGCAATTTTAAAATTCTTTTATACCGTATTTCTTGAACTAATGTTGTTAATTTACTTCAAAAATTCTCCCCGATTTCAAAATTTGGATCACCAAATTCATTTATTTCATTAAAGTAAAATTTAACTCATGCAGAGAAAAATGCACTGTTTATACTGCAAGTAAAAATCATTAACTCCTTGATCAAGCTAAGCTTTTGACGTTTAAGCCAAGGTAAATTTTGTAACAGTTAAAGTGCAGTGAAAAAGAATCTGACTTAAATAAAATATATTAACCCGTAACAGGGGATGTGCAGTCTGACGGACCGCGCCACATGTTCCTCCTATCACCCCTATTGCATGCTTTATCCAAGTGAATGGATTCTTCCCCTAGCTTCACGTTTCGTGACTTTCTTTCTATCCCCTTTTTATCGGAATGCTTTGGCAAGTGTATCTGTTGAAATTCTTCTAGAGCAGTCTGTGAGACCTCACCTCCCTCTCAGTGTTACAATTTTCGGCAGTAGTGAACACATGGCTCTGAAGTTAGGTCTGCGGAGATTCATTTATCCTTCTGATCGACGTTATGCAGAAGAACTGAAAAAACAGAAAATCAGTGAGATACTGATATTTTAGGTACTGTCAAAATTTTTCTGTATTGTGCTATATACAATTTTCTGATGTTAAAATTTGCTTTGAATATTAACTAATATAGATAAAATAGTTAATTCAAAATAGATGCATTTTTATTTTTAGTTTTATAGAATTTAGTGCAGCATATGATTTTCATTGAAAAATTTGAGGCTATGGGGAAATTTTCTGGGAAAACTTTAATTTCACTTTAAAGTGTAAAAACATATTTTCTTTTCAGAGTAAAATGTTCAAAGAACATCTAAGTGAACTATCCTGATGATATTTTAATTAGACGATTTTTAAAAATTTATTATAATGCGCGGTCTCTGACACCGCACGTTTCCTGCTATGTTCAATTTTTTTACCTCCCCTGTTACGGGTTAATTTATAAGAAATCAAAGTGCTATTATGGCTGAAAGTCTGCAGTTGGAAGTGTGCTCCAATTACAACCAACAACAATTTACAACTACAGTACAAAGTCCGTAATCTGGAAGTCCATTATCCAGAATGATCTATAATCTGGACCTCAAAGCCACAAACTTACGCATGCACGTAAAGCCAGTAAAGCGTTTACACAAGACCGCTTCCGATAGTGAAGAAAGTGACAGAGAGGTTATTGAAAACGAAAAAATTTTGATTGACAAGTTAGTCGGTATTCTCGACACAGCAATTACATTATTTGAACAGTGGAACTTTGTAACTGAACAAGAAATTATGTTTGCTTATAGAAGAGAGAATTAAAGAGAAAGTATTAGCACAAAAAACGAAGCAACTTACATTGCAAGATATGTTTAATAAAGTAAACAAATAAATGTTAAGCTTTTTTTTTTTGTAAATTTTAATACCCTTTAAATCATAATTGCTCTTTATTTCATAAATTATGGTTTCATATTTTTAATTGTATAATTTCTGCACGCCATCTTACCAGATTTAAACTGATGATCCATAATCTGGAAAAACCCCTAATCCGGAATCGCCGAAGTCTGACGACTCCAGATTACAGACTTACTGTAGTAGTTATCTTAAAAAATGAAGGAAACTTTCATTTTTGATGTATAAACAACTAATAATACACAAAAGAATGAAAAAAATGTTGCAAAAGAACAAAAGAAGCTGCATTAATTAACCATGTTAAAAAGCAGATAGTTTAAAAATCACACCAGAAAGGTTATCTTAGATTAATACAGATTTGAAGTTTTATCAATTTTCAGGGCAATCTGACACTGGTTTCTTCTTCAGGAGCAAAACATTTTTGTTCCTAATGAAAAGAAGTTTATTTCAGATCGTCCTCAAAGTCGATAATGTTTTATTTAAAATCTAAAGTTGCTTTTTTGCTTAGTTTTAAATTTTACACTGGTATGTTTCTTTTCTAATTACAACGGATACCTATAATTAAAAATTATAAGGAGACAATTAAATGTTATATTTAAAAAACAATTATCAAAATAATATTTTAATATGAAGCTTATAACTCTAAATATTAGTAAAAAGAACACTTAAAGAAAGTTATATTTAAATTTAATATAGAAATCCCTACCTTTATATTTAAAAATTCAGTAAAATCTGTTGTTTTTTTTTCACAGCATGACCATTTTTTATACACATCATGAAAAACTGGTACCCCAGGATGATGCAAGCAGGATTCTGTGGGGAAATATGAGTAAATAAAAAAGAGAATTTCATATATTTATAATGTAATGATTAAGTGATAACTCCTCCCTGAAGAAATGGCTCTTTTCCATTAAGATCTCGCCTTTTGGTACTATTTTTGTTTTGGTGTTATTTCTTTGCCACCATGTGTCATAAGTTTGATTACGCATCTTTCCTGGAGATAACTGTTTTTATGATCATCAATCAATCACCCAACCATATTTTTTAACTAATCTTTTTTTTTTTTTTTTTTTTTTTTTTGTGATAAGATTCAAGATGTGAGATTTGCCAAGAAATTAAAAACCCACTATCCTGTATCTTTAATAACGAGATGCTCTTCATAAAGAAAAATTATGCTTGAATAAACATTCATGAAATAAAAATGAAACTTTAAATCAAAATGGTTATGCAGTAACAATAAAAAAAAAAGTATCCAAATACAAATGTGGTTTGTTGGATCATGTATTTCTTCTGTTGTTACTATAAAATTCCTTCGCTTATATTGTCAGGAATCAATATTTAACCAGTTTTCCCAATTGAAACATGCTTCAAATGAATAACGCAGCAAGTGATTGGAATACATACATATATTAATTATTCTTGGTACACTTTGATAATTTTTACTTTTCCGTTTAAAAAACTTAATAAAATTTAAGATATATACATTGGATAACAACTGTACGTTTTATTTAATTATTACTCATGATCATCCCCAGTTCAACACAAGGCTAATCCGGTTCTTATAAATCACAACGCAATGCTAAAAGTTAGGTTAGATTTTAGGTAAATTTAATTTGTGTGAGGTGCATTCTTAAAAGGCACCTTAACACTTGAAAACACAAATATAATTATAATAGGAGTTGTTTTCTCCACTGAAGATTGAAATTTGAATCTGCCCAATCTGCAATAAAATAAGGCTTTTTTTGCAGACATTCTGCAGCTAAAGAAAGAAAATCTATTTAATGATATTTTTTTACTAAATTGAGGTATTTTACATTTATTTCGCAGCATACATAAGGAAAAATATGTGCATTAAATTTCGTGATGTCATCATACTGCTAGAATTAATTTTCAAGATTATGCCAGAGAAAATTTCTTCTTGAAATTTGGAAATATTTACTAATGAATAAATAAATTTAGAGGGAAGAAGCAACATTAAATGATATGAATAACATAAAATAATTACTTAAAAAATTTAATTAGAATTTTCAACGATATTTTAGCGAATATAGTTACATATGGTTATCCTAGATGATTGATTACAATTTTTTTTATTTTACTGCAAAATGACAAGGTATTTATTAAAAAGAAAGGAAAAAAAAAAAGATTTTGCGGTAAAATCCTAGTATACGATACGGCTTTCGCATGATTTTGAAAATTGTCGCCAAGAACAAAATGACCCGTTTACTGCTCATCATCATGTCGCCAAATCCCGCTGTAGCATACATGGAGATTATTCCGACCAAAGAACGTCTACGTAAAAAGCGGAGGGAAATTTGCCAAGGGATTTGACGACGGAACGGCCAGAATTTCCCTCTCCGCGATGTGTACAGGAAATTGAGAAACACGTGTTAAGAAGAAACGTTCTTTGACAAAAAAGAAAACTACGAAAATCCGTTTTTAAATTATTGCGAAAAATCCAAGAAGAAACGTTTTATCAAAGAACGTTTTTTCTTGGAATTTTCGCAATAATTTTAAAAACGGATTTTCGTAGATTCCACCCCCCCGTCAAAATAACTAATCCATGAATTAATTTACTTGCGTCAAAAAATATTTTCTTTTCCTTTAGAGTTTAAAGATATTTTAAACGATATTCATTTTATGAACTCTTGATAACGTGACCTTCGAACTTCGACACCGGTTTCGAGCTTTGACGACAGATACTATATCGCGCATGCACAGCTGTTTCCCGCTATGATGGAACCGAGCCACGTCTGTTGCAGAGAGGTTTTCCTTCTTAACAATACATATTTTTTTTAATTCTAACCTTCATGGTACCGTATACTAGGATTAAACCCATTTTGTTTTATACGAGAACAGGTACTTTCTTTAGTTCATGCACTGCACATGCGATTCTCGAGGTTACTGGAAACCAAAAGTTGCGGGAAACTTGCTTGCCTTTCTAAAAAGACAATCAAATTGGAGCTGCGAAAATTGGCTCTATGCCAGCTGCCCGAATGACACTCACGTGACACACAATTCGCCAAAAAAGTGATTTCTTCCGACGTCAGCGCAAAACTTGCCTTTTTTGGCGGGATCGTTGTATGAAATTCCCTGACTTTTCCAGATTTTGACTAAAACACTTAAATTCCCTGACTTTTCCCTGAATTTTTTGGTCAATTTCCGAATTCCCTGACTTTTTCCGGTTTTCCAGGTAGCGTGGCAACCCTGATATAAGAGGTATGTGCCAATTCCTTGTTATCTCATCTTAAGATTAAAATCTATAAATGCAGCAAAATTAAAAAAATCTGAAATGTTTCAGATTTTAAATTACGTCCAAAGGGGCGTTTTTTAACATTTTGTGTGTTACCTTTCTTTATTAAATATCATGTTCCTCGCACTTAAACCATAAGATCCAGTGCAACAAGAATATCGCAAAATAGTTTTAAAACGAGCATATCTTTAGAATTTCCGATACAGAGACTCACGCGCTGGAGATAGAAATGTTTTTTTCTGCACAACGTTGCCATTGCTCGCTTTGAAATCCTTGAGTTTGTTAATCAAAAATTCGTCAAAGTTTTAAAAAATAGGAAATCGATCATAAAACAAATTTCAAATTTCAAATTTGGTCTTCCACGTGCTCATATTCGTTGGAGGATTACGTTATTCAAAATTCGATGACTCTATGTACCGTTGTTTTATCACAATACGAGAAATGTACATACATTTATGCAGATTTTTCATTATTTAATTTCTTCAAATATAATGCAGGACTCTAATATTTTGTGGCAACAGTTTGAAAAGTGAACCGACATTTATGAGTCCGACGCAAAATGCCAAAACGAAACTAATAGTCCTTCGGGATTCAATTCCCCCCCCCAAATCAAAAATAACATGAAAGCAACTCAAAAAACATAAAATTCTGCGCAGAATTTTACTCTGCAGAACAACTTTAGAAAAAAAAAAAAAAAAAAAAAAAAAAAAAAACAATAAAATTGTATTATATATATATATATAAATGACAATGAAATATGCCAATCTGTTAAAAACAGTGACATAAGAAATACGATGAAAAATTGTTGCCAAACCCATATTTCTAAAAGAACGAAACTATTCAAAATGATGCGATTTCATCAAAAATCTATCAACAAGACAGGAAAATTGTTGCCAAAATCACATTTTTAAAGATGTGAGAAGTGTACTCAGAAGCTTCATTTAAAAAATTCTTTAAAAATACAAAACTATCATTTTTCCAAAATTCTTTTTGTAAAAGCAGTCGCAAGGATGAAAGTTTAATGTGTTCAAAAATCAAAGAAAAATAAACTGTACACTTTTAAAAATAAACTTTTTTAGAAAAATTCCCGTTGAAAAGGTGTTAAGCTCCCTTTGTTAAATAAATTCCTATTTAATCGATTTATTGAAACACGAAATTTATTTTAAGTTCGTAAAATAGCTAAGTGCCTACGTTTCATGACGATGTGAAAATGGAGTGTGTAGAGTAAAATCTCGCTTTCCTATAGCCCATTTTGTCACGAAACATAAAATTAAAAAAAAATTAATTCAAGTTTCGAAAAATTCGCTTCGAGGTGCACTGGCTCTTGTCTAGATGCACCTATGTACCAAATTTCGTAGCCGTGGGTCTATTAGCTTACGCGCAGCACGAACGAAAGACACACACACAGACTCTTTCTTTTATTATATGTAGAGAAGAGAGGAGATAAGATTGTTTAAGGGAAGGAAATTTAAGTTTCGCAGCTGTACCCTGCGGCATTAAGACGGTAATCACGGAGAGTCTACTCTTTTGCAATTCTCTTGACAGCTCACATCTACGGAACAATATCTAGTAATCAATCTCACTTAGCGGAATCATTGAAGTAAAATTCTGGGAGGGATGGGAAATAACAAAAGAACTGCTTGACAATTTTCAGAGGTTTAGGGTTATTTTCGCGACATTTTACGGGAAGTTCGGTCCAAAAAATTCTTAGAAACAATAATAAAGGTATACAATCTGTGCTAACATACTGTTTATAGTAGCCAAACTTTAGTCTTAAGTCATTAGTTCATAAGCTCTTTTGTACTTTTACACAGTATTATTGAAATTTTCAAGTACACAGTACTTATTCAAGTGAGCAGCCACCATAACCTGACAATTTCTATTAGACAATATCTGACGACAGCATTCAGACAATCATGTTGAGTCAAAAGTTACATAAATGCAGCCCTTCTAGGATCATTAGGAATCATAAAAATTCTTTTATCTATTACTGATCAACTCTTGTTCCTAGACAGTGAACATATATTTAGCTTAAAATTACTAAAAGCAAAGGTGTGGACTTTAGGGTGGATGATTGAAAATTTCCCATCCAAATTGATCCAGTGGGTAGTCAATATTTTGGGATACCCCTTGGATTATCGCCAAGTTGTTGTTTCATTTATGGTAACCTGAGTATTTTACGGTGTATGTTTTGGAAACCCTATCATGATATGATTGGTTGGACCCTATCATGACGTGAATGGTTGTAATGTGTGATGGCACTGATTTTGATGAGGAGAACATTTCTGAGAGCTTATTTCTGCATTGGATGCTGGCTAGGAAGTACGTCACTTATTTTGTACTTTACGCCGTAAAACGGCTGCTGGTGGTAAACAGGGTGTTTGGTGGTATGAAACGAGTGAAAGATGTTCTTTTAAGTGGTTGAGGACAGAAGAAAAGAAACTTTGTTCGATATAAATAAACAGAATATTACCTGGAACAACAATTATATCCCATTGCTGGAAGTTGTACGACTGTTTTTCTAACAATGCTTCGTTCATATCTCAGTAAATTAAGCAGTGACATTTAAGGATCTGGAAACCCCTCATATCAACACTATCCTAGGTATGTGGGATGTAATAAAAAAGTATTTTCCGAAAGAAATACCACCAACAGTCCGACACTACGGCGGGTATTTTTCATTTTTACTTTTATGGATTTATGTGGCAACAGCAGTATACACATTCTGTTCAGTATTTAAGAGTTTTGGATGTGTAGGATCTGTTCCTAGACCAGAAATATAAATATCATTTCTTTTTGTCTCGCGATTAGAACTTATTTCATTTTTTTTTTCTAGTGATGGGCAACTTCGGTACTTTCTTGTACCCGGTACGAGAGTAACGGGTACAGACAAGTACCCGGTACAAAATACCCGTTACTCAAGTAACCGTTACTTTGAAAAGTACCGAAAACCGATTTCAAGTACCGAGTACCCAAGTAACGATTTGGAGTACCGAAGTAACGAAATACCGGAGTAACGGTTTGCTGTACCGGAGAACCCTAGTCACGTTTTGCTGTACCGGAGTACCCTAGTAACGATTTGGAGTACCGAAGTACCCTAGTAACGATTTGGAGTACCGAAGTGCCCTAGTAACGATTTGGAGTACCGAAATACGCAGCTAACGATTTTGCGCACTGAAGGAACTCTGCCACGTCACCACGTGTTTGATTTTATCTGTACGGAGTAAGATTTTGAATATCAGAAAACATGTCAACTACGGAAGTGTCTGAGGAGCAGGAGAGCGCGGCGGGTTGTTTCTGGTGTTGGGTTTGTGTAGATTGTCTTTGATGGCCAGTGGGGGTTGGGAGGATTGGCGCGGGAAGTGGATGGATGGAAACATTTTCGCTTTCGGTTGTGTCTTGTGTGCAGGTGCAGCAAAATCGATGGGTGCTCTATCAATTTCGTGAAAGGGGTGTCGTCCATAAATGATGTCACGCTTGGAGGGGGGGTTAGTGAAATTGTGACAGTTTGTGACAAGGCGGGGGAGGGGTAACAAGAAGTGTGACATCATATTTTGATTAAAATAAAAATGTTTAAAATCAGCAGATTGAATTTTGAAGTTATTTTAAAATTACCAAAATTTGAAGGTATTTCCTTAATTGGGGCGAAAGCAACTTTCATGTGATTTTTTTTTTTTTTTACTTACATTCCTTTCTTTCCAAAAAAAAAAAAAAAAAAAAAAAGGCATTCAGAGTAGGTTTTGAGAATAGGGTAGCGGCAGAAATTGTAATTTTATTGCTATTGTGTATTAATTATGTTTTTTGCTGTAAACTTTTCTCTTATTTCATACAAAATAAGTGCACGAATCATTATTATTGTTATATTTACAGATGTCATTAAAACATATAGTTTAAATTTAAAAATAAAGTCTGAAATATGATCTATAACGTAGTGCTACGTTTTTGAACTGCAAGTATAAGTTTACGTAATATTGCGTGACATGTGACAAAGGGGGGAGGGGGTATGTTGAAGTGTGTGACACTTTGTGACAAAGAGGGGGAGGGGGTTCCAAAATGTTGCAGAAAAGTGTGACATCATTTATGGACAGCCCCAAATGAGCATAGTTGCGTACTTGAAAAACGTAAGGAAGAAAATAGTTTTAAAGGGCAATAGAAAGGGTAGCAGTAGGGTCTAGAAATTAAAATAAATCACAAACCTTTATCCCACTTATAGATAAGATAATGACTTTCAGTACCACTGCGAAATAAAACTTATTCAAGCTACCAAATTTTAAAAAAGATAAATCTCTTATTCTCTTCTCTCCCCTATATATATTAAAAATTCTGAATAAAAAAGTAAGATAATTTAAACATTAAATATAACATAAATGACCTTGTGTGTTTAATTGTACAATACTGGCATAAAATAAAATTTACACATTTATTCATATACACATGGTTGAAGAGCTTTTCCACAAAAAAGTTTATACTGTTCCTTTTTAAATTACATTTAGGTTTATTTTGAGTTAAATTTGTACTTTTGGAGATTTGGCACCGTACAATAAACAACAAAATGATTAGAAATATTTTTAAAAAACAAAAATATGATTTTAAAAAATGCATAAACATATATATTTGATTTAAACATTTTGAATTACCAAAAGCACTAGAAAATGAGCTATGTTTTGAAAAGTGAGATAATGTAATATATTTGGATGTACTACAGTGATAAGTAAATTTCAGCAAAATGGTTAAAAATATTTTTTAAAACGCACAATATGATATTAAAAGGCACATTCAATATAACAATTTTGAATTGAAGATTATCAAAAAAACACTAGAAAATAAGATAGCAAAGGGTTTAAAACACTGTGAGAGCGCAATACCTGGATGCAGTAACTGCAGTAAACACAAAAATGCAACAGAATGGTAAAAAATATTTTTAAAACTCAAATTACAGCCAAAGCGCATTCGACATAAGAATTTTGAGTGAAAGATTATTAAAAACACTAGGAAATAAGGCAGCATGTCTTTAAAACTACGAGAACGTAATATCTGGATGCTGTAACAGCAAAAAGCAACAAAAAATATTTGTAAAATCGCATTATATGAATTCAATAAGTACATTCGATATAAAAATTTAAATTAAAGATGATTTAAACACTAGAAAATAAGATAGCATGCTTTCAACTATATGAGAACTTAACATATGTGAGTACAGCTAAGTAAATAATAGAACTGTAGAACTTTATATTATATTAATAATCTAAATACAATTTCAAAATAATATTTTTTTTAAGAAATTGACATTTGAATGAAGTAATATTTCATTTAATTAAAACAAATAAAACTTTGATAGGCTGTGCAAAACGTTATAAAAGTATCAAATTTTTTAACTTTATGGAAATTTTAGGCATTTAATTCCTTCTATTTTTTTTATAAAGACCACTTAAAATATGTAACGAAAAATTAAGCATAAAAAAATTGACTCCCAGAAACAGTTTTGAAAATAATGCAGCGAAAATACATAGAAATAAACATTTTAAGCTGAACTTAGGTTGGAATTTTAAGAAGGTCAACAAATGATTAAATATTATAATTGTAATGTAAGAAAATTAGTTGTTTCAACTTTTGTCCACTCAAACGGTTTCGCCGATCATTCAGTATTAATCCAGCTTTAGAGAACACCCTTTCGCATGGCACTGAAGTAGCCACAAGGCCTAATTTTTTTCCGTGATAATTCATACAAATTAGGAAATACATTTTTATTCTTTTCCCACCACTCCAGTGGATCAGATTTCCTGGAAAGAATGGGCTCTTGCAGGTATCTTTTCACTTCTGCCGCAGCTTTGTCGATCGCCGCGTCTGCTGCGGGAGCTGATGAAGTTCGAGAGTCTTTAACTTTACTCTCAAACTCGAACCAAACCGATGATTCGTCTATCTCTTCATCATCCCCAACAAGATTATGGGTAGTTTGTGCAACTACCGATAACTCACAGATAATATCACTTTCAATTTTTTTGGCGACATCACATTTGAGCCCCAATTTTTTTATTCGGGGGTCAAGGAAAGCGGCTTGAGCAATGTCTTCTCTTGAATCGATAGTTGTAAATCTATTACCCAATTCACGTTGTAGTACTAGTACCACATTTTGTACTTGTTCATTAACACTTTTACTAAGCAGATTTTCACAGATTTTTTGAAGTCCGCCGATTAACACAGGCGCCATAGATGCTGACAAGTATTTTTCCGAACTCAACTCGCAAGTCACCTTTTCAAAAGGTTTCAAAACGTCACAAAGATGTTGGACACTTTCCCATTCTGGCACATCAAGAGCCTCTGGGGGGTCGTTCATCAAACCCATTGTAGAACGAATAGCGTCTTTCAGTTCAAGGAAACGTTTTACCATATAAAACGTGCTGTTCCAACGAGTCTTCACATCTAAGATGACTTTTAAGTCTTTTCTCTCCTCGCTAGAGCACAGATATTTTCGCAGATTTTTTGCAGCGATATTACTTCTCCTGTAAACTATCACAATATCCCTAATTTTCGTTAGAAGGTCGTTAACCTCGTTTAGAGAATTTGTGACAGCCAAATTGAGAGAGTGTGCAATGCATCCTAAATGTTTTAACTTTAGTTCGCTGTCGACAGCGTTAATCATATTTTTGGCATTGTCAGTCACTATTAAAGACACTTTTTCCATCGGAAAATATGGTTGGCAAATGTGTATGATATTTTCTGCAATATTTTTGGCTGAATGACGTTCATCAAAAATTGAGCAGTCAATCAGTACCGTTTTCCTTTGCATGTGTTCGTCAATAAAATGGCCTGTCACGGCCATGTAACTTTCAGCCTTTTGGTTGCTCCAACAGTCTACAGTCAAACAGATATTTTGTACAGCACTAAGAACGTTTTTTAAACTATTCTTTTTTTTTCTTCATAAGCAGCAGGAAGCAAGGATTTAGAAACCGTTTTCCGTGAAGGTAAGGAATAGGTTGGATTCAAAGCCTTTGAGTATTCTCGGAATCCCTCATTTTCTACGATACTTATTGGTTGTAAATCCTTATATACCATTTTGATCAGTGCGCGATCGATTACTTTTTTTTTATATGTACATCCATCGTATTTCTCTGGACAAACTGCATTATGCTGGACTGGGATTTTTGTGAAAATACACCAACAATATCACAAGCACTGTTGTCTACCGTAAGTTGTGTAGTCTGCTGGGATGTGCATGGTTGCCCACCATCTGCAGGGCTAGTGACGACAGAACGGGCTGGAGCGGCATCAATATCATCAACATCTTGATTCGGCAAAGCGCGTTTCTCGTGCAGATTTACACAAGGATGCTTCCTTTGCAAATGTTTTTTTTTTTTTTAATTTCCTGTTGAACCACCTTTGATGGATAAAAGGTCTTTACAAATGTCACACATAACTTTTTCGTCTTCATTAGTATAGGAAAAGTGCTGCCAAACCAAGCTGAATTTCCTTTTCTTACTAGACATTTTGTAATTCGATTTTTTTTTTCTGAGGCGTAAGAAACTGATAGAGACTAAGCAATTCTATAACGTACCGATACTCACCAGTACGAGACAAGAATGAATCTTATGGGAAAAGTGACGAAGTTGGGAGATGGTCATCAGCATCGTCAGATAAGCATAAAAAAATTCTATTAACGACTTCCGCTGTTCACTCCAGCTGCAAATTCTAAAATCAGCACTACGCTGTGAAAAGGGTAAGTGCAATATCGCGTAATGATTCTATTAATCAGGCATGAAAGAGCAAAAAATGCAAAGGAAAAAAGGGAGGGACATGTATGTTTACATAAACATGTCCGGATAATTTCCGGTGTTCCATTCGATAGTTTTCCCCCCCCCCCTCAAATAAGCTCCAGAGGGAGTTAAAAAAAAAAGAAGAAGATTCGGACTGCCAGGTCAAAGTTCACCTCTCTTCCTATCGGAGGAGCGTCGTCCAATCCTGCGTTAGGCACGTGACCTGGGTTTAGTTTTTGGCGAGATGAAAATCTGTTTTTAGAAGGGGGAAGAATTATCATAAGTGGGTCAGTTATCTTTGTTCTTTCATTAGAAAAGTTTAAAATTGCGTCTGTATTTTATGTTGATTGGCTTAGTGATCCACTAGATGCTGTGACATTTTCTGAAGTAGGTACAGCGGGATAAAAAAGGATCATATTTATTTAAAAAGGATCATATGATTTACGTTGCCCTATTAAGCAAGCAAACGAAAAATATTTTTCATGATTTATGCTAAAAATATGTTGAGGAAAAGGAAGTAATCTAGTTGGTAGTTGATTCCATTCACCAATCCAACAACAGCAACTTACCAAATCAATCATTTCAGATCCACGCAGTTTTTCTCCTACAAACGATGAAAAATTAAAACATGCACAATTCGGATTGCAAATCATCTAGCGCTCCCCTCCCTTTCCCTCCTGACTATACCGACTCCAATCACAAGCGAGCAATGCCGGCGACAGTGACTCCAACTGCTACTATTCCCCCCCACACACACACACGAACGGCCTTTCGAAAAATTTCCACCATTTCCCACTCGTCCTCCCGCGCACACAAAGGCAATTAATTATATACTACCTCAAACTCTAGTCTCCGTGACGAACGGAACGGAAGTTTCCCCCTTTCACGTTTGCCATTCCATTCCCTATTTCAAGGTCATTCATGGACACAAGGAGCGCATATCACCATTTCGCAAATACAACCAGATACTACTGTCCTCGTACCAAAACCGAAGTGAGCTGAACCCTCATCGATCCTCCAGTAACGAATACCGAAATACCGAGAAGAGACGCATATTTTCGTTACAAAGTAGCGAATACCGAAAAGCACCCGTTTCGGTACAGAAGTAACGAATACCGTTTCGGTACAGAAGTAACGAATACCGAAAAGTACCGATTTCGGTACTGAAGTAACGGGTACTTGGATGTACCGATTTTCAGTACCCGTTACAACTAAGTACCCGTTACAAAATACCCGGTTCGGTAGTACCGACTCATCACTAGTCTAGGTTAGGCCAGAAACCAAATTTTAGACTTACACGAATGCATTCGTTGAAACACTGGGATTTGAAAAAGAATGTCGAGAATTTCCTTCACAATGCAAATCGTAAATTTTTTGATAAGGAGAGAAACTTCTCGCACATGAATTACTTTAAAGTTTTCGATTATGTCGTGTTTCCAGAAGATGTCAAGATCAGACCATTAGCGGCCTTCCTCACTAGGGACTCTAATTTTCCGACATAGCCAGATTTACCCATGCAACATCATCTATTTTCTGTATATACTGTATATAATTTTATTTCGTATTGCACTTTGAATTCTTCGTATTTTGTATATGTATATATTCACCTTTATTGTATTTTATTTATTGTATTTTATTTTTTGTAATAAAATTGTATTTGCATTTATCATGTTTTTTCTCCACATACCCATCATGAACAACACTATTTCAGACATTCCACATCTTGCTGCCTCTCCTGGTCTTTGGTCTTAAGTTCGATTCTCAGCTTATGACGTCCTGTGGTCACCCCCCTTTTTCCCAATTCTGATGACTCCTGTCACCCGATCCAGACATTGATATGTCATGTGCCCCTTGGGCATACTTGTCATGAGCCGGACACGTTGCATTTAATGCAATATCTCGGCGCAATTTATAATGAATGAATGAAAAGGATCCATCTTCTAAATTGAGTTGGCCGATCTTGTTCTGCCAGAGATTTGATCTATGTTCGCTGATGAGATGTTCAATTTTGCGATTAAGTTGATTGATTTTGGTCTTCACATTAGCATTCCAGGTGCGATTAAAATTTTTTCTTAGCCTGTTGAGTTCTTAATAACATTCCTGATGTGCAGGGGAAGTTGACCATGATAGCGATCCGTGTTACATGTAGTAGTAGAATTTGCAAGAAAGTTGTGAAGTTTTCTAATAAGGCGATTAATTGCTTCATCAATGTCTTCATTAGTACTGGGACGGGAGATGTTGGGGGAAGAGGCAAAGGCGAGATTCCAGAAAAGGATCCAATCCGTGGTTTCCTTTACAGGAGAATCCTTGGACCTTGGGAAAACGGTTGGTTCTTCTCTCGTTTGATTGTTAGCATTATTTATTATACTGATTTTTTTTTTTTTTTTTTTTTTTTTTTTTTGAGTTGGTAGTTTATGTCTGTATTAATTGTTTCTTGCTTTAGTTTAGTTGTTAATGCTTTGCAGTTAATATTCCATTCTGACTGTTGAACTTGCTTCACTTCATGAGATTCCTATTGCTAATAAAAAGCTACCTTCTTTTCGCTAAATTTGTGCCATTACTTAAAAATCCGGTCTCAAGATCACTTTAGAACTGGGGGAAAACTGATTTAAGGAGCAAAGCTTATAAAGCAGTAAAATTGCCAGTATTAGTATTAATATGTCTGACTTTCGTTTCGCAATATTTTTTTTAGTTCAAAGGGGCATTTTGCCCAGAAGGACTATTAATTTCGTTTTGGCATTTTGCGTTGAAATGTCGGTTCACTTTTCAAATTGTTGCCACCAAATATTAGAGCCCTGTATTTTATTGAAAGCAATTAAATAATGAAGAATTTGCATAAGTGTATGTATGTTTCTCGCACTGTGATAAAAAAAGGCCACCTAGTACCATCAAATTTTGACTAACATACGTTTTCACCCGAATATGGACATCTGGAAGCCGGAATTTGTTTTATTATCTTTCATATGAACACGACGCTTATACACAAAAGTGAAGAAGCTAGAGTGCAAATTTTGAAACCATATACAGTTTCAAGTCCAAAATACGGACCATCAGAAATTTTTTTCAGAAACATATTGCGAGAGGGTAGAAAGTTTGAGAGAGTGGTATCTTGCTTTAGCACATGCTTGATACATGACCCTACTCTGCATCCATGGTGGATAAACTTATACATTTTTGTTTAAATGTTTTCCATATTACCGGTACTTGATCCAAAATACAATATGAATCCACCCATGGACACACGGTCATCCCTGTTATTTGCATAATCAGCATCTGTATAACAATATACATTTAGAGGTTTAATTTTGAATAAGCTTAACTTATATGATTTAGTGCTATTGAGATAACGAAGCAATTTCAACTATGCTGCCAAATGCCTAATTCCTGGATTCTCCTGAAATTGAGATAAGATTTACTGCATATGCGTTATCGGGCCTTGTCCTATTAGCTACAAAAGCTAAACATTCCAACATATTTCTAAAGGGTAATTTTCGCATTTCAGCAATTTCTGCACTTGTAGACGGACAATCTAATTTTATATGAACAGTGCCTTTAGCTGTGGGAAATGAAGTTATTGGTATCTGAAAATGTTTACATTTTGCAAAAATTTCTTCGATATATTTTTGCTGATGAATAAAAGTGCCCTTGTCGTTTTCTAATAATTCAATTCCAAGTATTTTTTAGTTTCCAAGATTTCTTAGTTCTGTCTAATACTTTACGATCGAAAAACTTACCAAACTGTGAGATTACTTTATTACACTGTTGATCTTTACTAAAGATTACAATATCATCTACATATAAAAGAGGATTACATTAGAGCTCTTATAAACACAATTACACCATACTACTTTCTTAAAATCTAGATTTTTCTAAAGTATTTTCAAATTCACAAAACCATTCACGGCCGCTTTAATGCAGACCGTACATGGTCGTGTGTAATACTCGTAAATACGCTTTATTTTTCACTTCAATAAATCCCTTTGGCTAGGTCATAGATATTTTCTCATTGAGCTTTGCATATGAGTGTGCATTTTTCACGTCTGAGAGTTAGTCCATCCACAAAAATATA